ACGCAGCAGGCCTTCCAGGGGGGCCCTTAACTTCTGCCTCCGTTCCTGGTTATGCACTGGGTGTTGTGCTCGGAAAGGGGTGCATCCGTGGCAAGTGAGGAGCAGTTGGGGTGACTCTAATACAAGCTAATAGCACCGATTCCAAACTCACCATCAGCTCAGCTCGGCTCGGCCAGGCCACGCTGTGGAGCATCTGGTCGCTGATGTGTAACAAACGGGGACCCGCCGCCCTCCTGGAGCTCGGCGGGGCGGGGCGGGGCGGGAGCGGCACAGGACAGGACAGGAATGATCTCACTAGCTCTCAAGCTCACCTTTGTTAAAGCCTTGTCCTGTGACATCCGTGTAGTGATGTGCATGGACGTTCCTTCATTTATTTAACTGTACTCCCTACTGTTTGAGATTTGGGTTATTTCCAGGAATATCTTGTGTTGACTTTCTTGGATTTTCTTACTTAAAAAAAAAAAACCTCAGTGCTGGTGTTGAGTCTGACCTGGCCTGATTTGTGGTCAGTGGTAAACGCTGGACACAGTTGGCCGGTCCAGCCTAGGGTGTGAACTAAAGCAGCTCTCACTGGCCTTTCTGGTGCTGCCGTTCTTGGCTCTGTAACCCCTGCACTGACCCGTGAACTACTGTGATGGCCTGTTCAGTGACCAACAGAACGAAGTAGTGTCGTTGGCGACAGTGGCTTTGGTGCTTGAGGCCGGAGGGTTTTAATGGGGCAAACGCTCAGAAGTGCAAGAATCTGGGATGACAGTCCTTTCTAGGTAGGTCACAGAAGCACCAGGCTCTCGTGGTCTGCGGGGAAGAAAGTGCCCTCTGAGCCGTGGTCTGTGCTACTCCCGGTCTAGAGCAGAGTCTGTGGACTGCTTCTCTGAAGTGCCGCAGGGAGCCACGGTGGCCACGCCCATTGATTTGTGTATCGAGAGTGAGTTGTCGAGTGGCCCTTTACAGAAAAGTCTGCAAACGTCTGCACATTCAGCACTCTGGACATTTTGGGCCAGGTAGTTCTCTGTGGGTGCCCCCTGGGAGGCAGACTTGTCCCCTACTGAGAAGTACTGGTCCAGAGGATTCAGGAAATGCCAGCTTAGCTAACGGAGGGAAGGTCCCTTTCTGAGAGGTTGTTTTGCTTAGTGGAGGTGTGGCTTCGGTTCCTTCCTTAACTTCAGCTCCAACCTCAGTGCTGAACCGGAGGCCATGTGACACCTGAGCATTGAGTGCACGTGTCCTAAACCAGGAAACTGGCTGCTGCCCTGATAGGTGACCTGCTGGACCTGGATCCCTTCCTGGTCTGCCCGCAGCTCATAGGATCGAGCAGTGCTTGGCATCTCCCCGTCTTTACCATGTGGGCCAGGTCTGGACATGGCCCTTGCGTCTGTCTGTCTGCGATGTTCCTTTTTGATCCGTCCCTTCACCACTGGTTATGTGTCAGTTGGCCAGTGAGGCAGGATTTACCCCCCACCCCCACCCCCGTTGGGGCAGCCATGAGAGTCGTTCAAGGGCAGATGAAACCGTATCCAGGGGAGGCTGTGTCGGCTTCCCAGTGCAGGAGAGCCACTCCCTCCCCGTGCAATGAGTATTGATTGGGATGTTGATGAAATATGCATCAAATGCAGGGTATTTTGGGACTGTGACCAGCACTGGTTCTGCTGAGCCCCAGGATCCTGCCTTCCTGCCTCCTCCCCTCCCCTCCCTTCTGCTCAGCGGCAGCTTCTCAGCAGCGGCCTGGCCTCTGGTGGGTGGTGGCAGCAAGCTCTGGGTCCTGGGAGCTGGTGCTGAGGCTGCACCTTTTCTGCAGCCGCGCACCTTCCTTGCTGTGGGCTCCCTTGTGTCTTTGACCTTCATGGTGATGCAGGCCTGCGCTAGGAGGTACAGTCTGCTGTCTCGGAGCTGTGGTCAAGGGGGCAGAAGGAAGTGGGTGGCCGGGGCGGCACCTGAGACTGTGGGCAGCAGCTCCTGTGTGCTGCATCTGTGAGGGACTCCGGCGGGAGCCCNCAGAGCCTAACCCAGGGCCGGCTGGGTAGGTTGCTGAGGGCAGTGGTGTCTTGTGCGCAGTACCGCGGTGGCCGGCAGGTGGCAGCAGAGGGTGACCTTGGGGCTCCTCCGAGGAGCTCGTCCCCGCTCAGGTGAGGTGCTCCTGTGCGCAGGTGCCCCACCCTCAGCGGCCCTTGTGGAATTGCCCTCGGCGCTTCCTCACGTGACAGCAGCCGTGCCAGGTAGAAATAAAGCACCTGGGTTGCAAGGTAGGAGACCCGAGCTCTTCAACCAAGCACGCAGCAGGCCTTCCAGGGGGGCCCTTAACTTCTGCCTCCGTTCCTGATTATGCACTGGGTGTTGTGCTCGGAGCTGTGGGATAACTGGAAAGGGGTGCATCCGTGGCAAGTGAGGAGCAGTTGGGGTGACTCTAATACAAGCTAATAGCACCGATTCCAAACTCACCATCAGCTCAGCTCGGCTCGGCCAGGCCACGCTGTGGAGCATCTGGTCGCTGATGTGTAACAAACGGGGACCCGCCGCCCTCCTGGAGCTCGGCGGGGCGGGGCGGGGCGGGAGCGGCACAGGACAGGACAGGAATGATCTCACTAGCTCTCAAGCTCACCTTTGTTAAAGCCTTGTCCTGTGACATCCGTGTAGTGATGTGCATGGACGTTCCTTCATTTATTTAACTGTACTCCCTACTGTTTGAGATTTGGGTTATTTCCAGGAATATCTTGTGTTGACTTTCTTGGATTTTCTTACTTAAAAAAAAAAAACCTCAGTGCTGGTGTTGAGTCTGACCTGGCCTGATTTGTGGTCAGTGGTAAACGCTGGACACAGTTGGCCGGTCCAGCCTAGGGTGTGAACTAAAGCAGCTCTCACTGGCCTTTCTGGTGCTGCCGTTCTTGGCTCTGTAACCCCTGCACTGACCCGTGAACTACTGTGATGGCCTGTTCAGTGACCAACAGAACGAAGCAGTGTCGTTGGCGACAGTGGCTTTGGTGCTTGAGGCCGGAGGGTTTTAATGGGGCAAACGCTCAGAAGTGCAAGCATCTGGGATGACAGTCCTTTCTAGGTAGGTCACAGAAGCACCAGGCTCTCGTGGTCTGCGGGGAAGAAAGTGCCCTCTGAGCCGTGGTCTGTGCTACTCCCGGTCTAGAGCAGAGTCTGTGGACTGCTTCTCTGAAGTGCCGCAGGGAGCCACGGTGGCCACGCCCATTGATTTGTGTATCGAGAGTGAGTTGTCGAGTGGCCCTTTACAGAAAAGTCTGCAAACGTCTGCACATTCAGCACTCTGGACATTTTGGGCCAGGTAGTTCTCTGTGGGTGCCCCCTGGGAGGCAGACTTGTCCCCTACTGAGAAGTACTGGTCCAGAGGATTCAGGAAATGCCAGCTTAGCTAACGGAGGGAAGGTCCCTTTCTGAGAGGTTGTTTTGCTTAGTGGAGGTGTGGCTTCGGTTCCTTCCTTAACTTCAGCTCCAACCTCAGTGCTGAACCGGAGGCCATGTGACACCTGAGCATTGAGTGCACGTGTCCTAAACCAGGAAACTGGCTGCTGCCCTGATAGGTGACCTGCTGGACCTGGATCCCTTCCTGGTCTGCCCGCAGCTCATAGGATCGAGCAGTGCTTGGCATCTCCCCGTCTTTACCATGTGGGCCAGGTCTGGACATGGCCCTTGCGTCTGTCTGTCTGCGATGTTCCTTTTTGATCCGTCCCTTCACCACTGGTTATGTGTCAGTTGGCCAGTGAGGCAGGATTTACCCCCCACCCCCACCCCCGTTGGGGCAGCCATGAGAGTCGTTCAAGGGCAGATGAAACCGTATCCAGGGGAGGCTGTGTCGGCTTCCCAGTGCAGGAGAGCCACTCCCTCCCCGTGCAATGAGTATTGATTGGGATGTTGATGAAATATGCATCAAATGCAGGGTATTTTGGGACTGTGACCAGCACTGGTTCTGCTGAGCCCCAGGATCCTGCCTTCCTGCCTCCTCCCCTCCCCTCCCTTCTGCTCAGCGGCAGCTTCTCAGCAGCGGCCTGGCCTCTGGTGGGTGGTGGCAGCAAGCTCTGGGTCCTGGGAGCTGGTGCTGAGGCTGCACCTTTTCTGCAGCCGCGCACCTTCCTTGCTGTGGGCTCCCTTGTGTCTTTGACCTTCATGGTGATGCAGGCCTGCGCTAGGAGGTACAGTCTGCTGTCTCGGAGCTGTGGTCAAGGGGGCAGAAGGAAGTGGGTGGCCGGGGCGGCACCTGAGACTGTGGGCAGCAGCTCCTGTGTGCTGCATCTGTGAGGGACTCCGGCGGGAGCCCACACTGCCTCACGCCTGTGCTAATGCAGCCTCGCCGCCACACTGCCTCTGAGGAGCATAGGAGGGAGCAAGGAGAGAGTCACAGCAGTTGCTTTTCAGTGTCGCTGCCGACTGCCTGCCATGCGGTTTGTGGGACGAGCTGGGTCCTGTGTTCGGGTCTAGTAAGTGGTTTCTTGGGACCTCTGTGCTGTGCTGTCCAGTGTGGGAGCTGCAGCCACACACAGACTTTTTCCCCTTGTGTTGAGAACTTTAAGATCTGCTTCCTCTTAGCGATTTTCAAGTATTCAGTCTGGTGTCGTTAACTCAAGCCCCCATAAAGAACATCGGAACCCAGATGGCTTCACTGGTGAGCTCTTCCAGTTATTTAAGGAGGAAAAGACCCCAACCTTAGACAAATCCTTACAGAAAATAGACAATAAGACAACTCTCCCAATTTGCATAACCCTAGCTCCCAGCCCTGGCCAGTTACACAGGAAGTTGTTACAGGCCAGTTTCTTGCATGGACACAGATGGAGAAACCTTAAACTAAAAAATAATAAATCTGTGTAAAAAGATGACCAAGCTGAGCTTGTCCCAAGAATTCAGTGATGTTTGTGGTTCAGTTTTCTCATAGCCTCTTCCTGCCTTCACTCTTTGCAAGCGGGAGTCACTTGAGGGTGTGGAAGCGCATCTTCCTCGAGGGCAGGCTGGGGCAGAGGCCTCACTGTGTCTCGTCTGGTCTGCAGGTCGTATCTGACTCCTGTCCGAGATGAGGAGGCCGAGTCTCTACGGAAAGCACGCTCCAGGCAAGCTCGACAGACCCGGAGGTCAACGCAGGTGAGTGTGGCCTCCTTCCATGTCCTTGGACAACCCCGAGCTCCCACTCACTGGTGACTGGGTGAACGCAGCACTGTACCTGCACCCCTATAATGGGCTTTCGCCTGCGTGGGAAGCAGCGAGGCTCTGGCACCTGCCAATGCTGCGATGGGGTGAACCTAAGAAAACGCCATGGTAAGAGGAAGAAGCCATACCTAACCCCACTCACAGGCAGAGAAGCCTTTGGGGGCTGGAGAGGTGGGAGGGACTGCTAATGGGTATGGGGTTCCTTCTGGGGCCTGAAAACCTTCCTATAGTAGATTGGGGTGAAGGCCGCACAGTGCGGTGAACGTGCCCAGAGCCCCTGGGTCGCACACTTGAGAAGGGAGGGTTCCTGCCATGTGCTCTATGCTCAGTGACCTTCAGTAACAAACGTGGGGCCGCAGAATAAGGGAGAGTCTGGTATTGGGCAGGCGGACGCTGGCCTGTCGTCTGGGACTCAGATGGGGAGCTGAAGTGCTGAGTTTGGGATGGACCCAGGCTCGGGCTAGGGTTCTCTGCACACTCAGGAGTTTGCTTTAAGCCAGTGCTGCTCAAGGTGCCTCATTCTGAAGGCTTCACTCAGAGCTGGACATGGGGGACCCGTGGTCAGGCTGGAACCTCCGACCTGTGCTGTCTCCCCAGGGAGTGACCCTGACAGACCTGCAGGAGGCAGAGAGGACCTTCAGCCGGTCACGGGCAGAGCGGCAGGCTCAGGACCAGCCTGGCCAGAAGCCGGTGGGCACCGAAGGGCTGGAGGGCCGAGTGGAGAGGCAGGAGCCCTCTGCAGTCCCTGCAAAGGATGCGGGAGAGGGCCGCCAGCCCTGGGGCCAGGGTCCGGATGAAGAGGTGAGTTCCGTGGGCGGGGCCCTGAGCTGGAGTGGGTGGGGCCAGGGCTCTTCCCGAGGCTGCTGCCCTGAGGACCCTTTGGAGCTTCATGGAGGTCAAGTTGCTCCTGCCTCCTTCTGAAGTCAGGGAGTGCTGCCCAGCGCTAGTGCTGCCTGAGGCCCTTTGGCCAGTGTCTCATCAGATGGGGCACCCAGGAGCTCTTTCCTTTCTGCTACTCACTGAATCTACTACTGCTGATCCTCTCGGTGTAGAAAAAGCCCATTTTCCACAAACCTGTGTGCATGTCCTCTGGTTGGACCTGACCTCTAACATGCCCCCTGTGGCTCACCTCCAGCCTGCCTATCGTCGCCTGAGGAGTGCAGCCCAGCCAGACAAGCCCACCTCAGCCGTGCCCCCTTCCACACCAAGACCCGCCCTCTACACCAGCTCCCACCTGCTGCGGACAGGCAAACCCTCAGCCCCCGACGACACTGAGAGCTCAGAGACAAAGGAAATGGACAGAGATGGTGCGTAGAGCCCCAGGATTGCAGCCCCCCGGCATGTACCCTGGCTCCTCATGTTCACGCCTCACTTTCTCTCTGGCAGAGAGTGAGGAGGCTGGTGTGGACGACTCGGCCTCTGGCGGGCTGTCCGTCCGTGAGAGGAGGCGGCCCCGGGAGCGGCGGAGGGGAACAGGCATCAACTTCTGGACAAAGGACGTAAGTGGATGGCCTGTGCTGGCAGCTGCCCCAGCACCTGGTCGCCCTCCTCTGTGCTGAGCTCAGAGTTCCACATGTGGTAGAGGTGCAGATGGTCAGGAGGTGCCAATGGGAAAGAAAGAGGGAGAAGAAGCTAGTGTGGGACTCATTTGGGGTGTTCCTGAGTGCCCAGTGCCTGGAGCGGTGCCAGATGCATAGGCGTTCAGTAAATGAGGGGTGATGCGTGAAACACTGACGCTCACACCCTGGAAACTAGCCTAACGGCTCAGGAGTCTGTTCTCGTGCTCCCCGGGTCCTGCGGCCCAGGGTATTCATAGCAGAGGTTGAAGCAAGAGCTCTGGGGCAGCCCAGGAAGGAACACAAGTCCCTCTTCTGGAGGGAAAGGGAGGGATTGTAAAAGACAATTGAGTCTGGCTTTGCAGCAGAGGCAGGCGCACCTGTGCTACTGGCTGCAGACACCGGTCAGTGCTTTAAGTCATCC